TCGATCGAGATCGCTTCTAGGATGTGGATTTGGCCGAAACTTTGTTCTCGTGTAAGTCTCACTTCCTGGATACGAGTTCAGGAGGTGAGGCTCACTCGAGAAGTGCCCGAGTTGCTTAATTTTGTTCCCGCTCGCAAATGCCGGCGTTACAGGCTTGTTTTAGCTCGTAGCTCACGTAACAAGCGTTTTCTCGTCAAGGGGTGTGATATTTGTTATCAGGGGGTAAAAATACAGGCGCTGCTTTTAGCAAATTTGTTGACTCAAGGTGTTTCTGGGCCGGCTTTTATGGAACAGGCGCTGAAAAATTTATAGGTGAATTTCCCTTTTGGCAGAGTGCTAGCGCAATCTCCGCCTGAGGGAAAATTTCAATTAAAATCTTGCCTAAAATTCAACAAGTTGAACAGTGATGGTTAAATGGTATAGTTTTTTTTTAATTTCTTCAGTTGACTTATATCTATGTTTATCAGGAGTTCTTGTTCAGAGCGAAGATATGCTGTCGGACAGTTCCGATGATTCATCTGAAAGCGACAGTAGCGATACTTCTACCGTGAGTGACGAGGATGAAAGGAATAAACGTAACTTTTGTTTGTTATTTGGCTATTTGATATTAAAATAACTGGTAATAGAGTACTTAGTAGTTCGGCCCTGCATAGCCAGAACGTGCAATGTGTTCAGAGTAAACACGTGCACCAATGATGTTTTCCTTTTTTAATCTGGAGAGAGCGTGCTATATATCCGATTCGCGGTGGTTTGGCTTTTGTGCGAAGGACGCATAGCTGTTCTGCCCTAAGCCCTATAATTTATGCATATCGGAAGACCGAGGGAATGGCTATGCATTCATGCTTCATGATGAAAGGCTGAAAAAGGCTATATATTTTCTGGAAAGAGTGCGCTTAGTTATTCGTTCAGTATGTAATTTCCTCTTCTAATGCCCAGCGACGAAAGGCCTAATGGGTTATGGATACCGTGCTAAGGGCAGATTGTGCTGCAATGGTTATGTAGCATTTTGTAGACTCAGTAGGCAGTTTTAACACGTTCTCACTAACCGTTCCCGACTTCTTTTCTGCGGTAGATATTTTTGCTTCACTCACTTAGAGCTTCAATTTCCGCCGGTATGGTAAACGAGGTGGGAACACCGAAGGGAAAATTGCAAGAGAAATGTGGTAAATGTAACTTTTTAAATTCTCTACTGGAAGTTGTCGCGATGAACTGTTCAAAACTTGGTATTCTTGGGATTTCAACGAATATTCTGGCATAATTAAATTCGGAAACGTTACAGAAGCTCATGGGTAATATAGCTCCTCGAATCTCGAATGATCCTTATGAGGGACCTGTCTAGAAGGAAAACGTATTAGCCCAAATAAGATCACGATGGGGTGCTCCGATTTGAACGAACGGCGGGTAATGGTCAATTAGGCAGTGTTCAGACTTCGCGACGGCAACGCTTCGGTCGCGCGTTCGACGCGATCGATGCAGTCGAAAGCATGCGCATCGATCGTCGAATCGCGCGACCGGAGCGCTGCCGTCGCGAAGTCTGAACGCTGCCTGAGCGTTGATTAGTGAAGAATGGGAAAAGGAAGTGTACGTATAGCTCCGCCTCTGGCTTCAGTTCTCCATTGGAAGCATATTCTGCAATGGTGATATGGTTGGAGTCACTTGAACATTCCTTGTTGGCAGACCACAGCGAATGTGGCCGTATTTGTCGCTGAAGAAAGAGTTCGTATTTTACCACGAGAAAAAGGCCTTATTGTTCATTTTCCTGTTCAGCGCGGTACCCTTTGAATGGCAAAATCCTGGGGAGAATTCGGTGGGAGGGTTGGAGAATAGGTTGTGAAAGGGGCCGTACCTGAGGGTGACTTCTAGAGGAAGATCTTTTTCAGCAAACTCCCCACAACGTGTAATGTGCCCTCCCCTCAGCGAGCCACCTATTACATCCGGAATTGTCCCACGTTATTGAATGGTTGCAGGTTGTCGAAGATTGTAGGTTGAAAAAGGTAATGACTATACATATATCAAGAGGCAGGTGATGCAGGCTTGCATGAAATGCTTTTGATGTGATGAAAAGTGGAAAGCTGGGCGCTTTTCTGCTTGGGAGGGAGAGGGGTCCGCAGTTTATTGCTGGTTCCTGTTGAATTGAACGTTTCACGCTGAAGACATTAGTGGACTCCTTTCAAGTGTAGAAGGCTCCTGCTGTTTGCACATGACTTGACAGATCTCTATATGAGACATCGGTAGTGATCGGGAACAGAAATATGCCCCCACCGAACCGAACTGCGTCGAAACGCCGGGAACTGCTTCCCTGTGTCCTTTCCTTCCGCGAAACTTATCTCTTACTATTATTGAGGCGTTAGGAAGAAACTGAAGTGACTTCACAAACAGCTTGAGAGTTCTTTCTCACTACCCACCGTAGCCGGACTTGGTTATTTTGGTATAGAACTGTGGCTTTTTTTCATCTAGACCACCTGCATCCCAATTTCACTTGAAAAATCTACTGAGAATTGTTTCAGCTCACTTTGATGTCGTTCCATCATCGCAAGAAATGGGCAAGCTCATTGTAGATTATCTAATATCGGAAGGATATAGAGAGGTGTGTTTTGAGTGCATCTGAATGTTGAATACTGAATATTTTTTAATCGATCAATCTCTGGCTCGGTATCAGCCCTCAAAATATGCGTGGAACGTTTCCAGGCAGCAGAACTGCTATGTCAGGAATCTGGGTTGGAGTTGCCGAAAGATGACATAAAAAATCTTGACGCACGGATGAATATCAGATGTGCAATAATAGAAGGACGGCTTGACGACGCTCTGCGGCTGGTCAGTTTACGCTTCTTCCCTCATTGGCACAGTTCGGTTTAGGAGGGGGGGGGGGTGGAATCCCTTCACTATTTTTTGGTCACTCTAGTTTCCTCGTGAATTTATGAAATTTCAAGGGCTTCATTTTATATTCTTTTTTACTTTTTATGCTAAACAGTATTCATCGTTGCAGCTGTTGTGAGCCAGGGGAAGGATTTTTGCATAACCGATAGAAGGAGCTGTGGGATGGCTGAACCAATTCGTACAGAAAAATAGGTTAAAAACGATACTTGTAACATATCGTAACACAGCTTCACAGGAGTTGGTATAATGGCCCCCTATCCAGA